TTTTTGTGAAGAAGATCAGCCCTGAGCTACCATCTGATGCCAATCCTCCTCTTTTTTCCGAGGAAGACTGGCCCTGAGCTAACATCCGTGCCCATCTTCCTCCACTTTATATGGGACGCCGCCACAGCATGGCTCGACAAGCAGTGCGTCGTGCGCGCCCGGGATCCGAAACGGCGACCCCCGGGCCGCTGCAGCGGAGCGCGCGCACTTAACCGCTTGCGCCACCAGGCCGGCCCCCTGAGATCCTTCTCTCCAGGATGACCCTTGCTTGTGTAGAGGTCAGCTAGAAATGCCCGGGAAGGGAGCATGGGAGGAAACTGCGGCCCGATTTGCAATCCAAGTGGGCATAATCAGAATTTTGCCTTTTCAAGGGCTCACTGCCACTCTTCAAAAATCTAAACATTTCTTCTTACAAAATTCCTGCTCCAAGCAGACTTTCAAATATTCTCTGATTTAAATTGCCAGGTTTATTTTGTTTGTTCCATCTGTTAATGCAATCATGTAAAATTCTATGATTTTGTGTCAGTGACTTAATTCTCCTCATTGCTGAACCAAATGGGGCTGTAGACGCAGAGGCTGAACAAGAAATGAGCAGTAGCTGATGAGATGTCCCAGGGAATAGCCATGCGATGGCAACTATACATGAGCTCCACACACGCTTCTGCCAGATGTGATTTTGGCCAATCGTCTCCACACTGGTGTTTTCTTAGTAGTTCACAAATACGTTCCCTATTGCTTCTTGTCCATCTTCTCCCACTTAAAAATTACCTTCTGAAGTCAAGTTTGTAATGAAAATAATTTACCACACGGTGTTGGGTCATTAAATCCCCTCAACTACAGGGAAGTTTTCCTGAGAATAAAAGCTCACTAAACATATTGTGATTATGTTGTTTCTTTTCAAAAAGAGTAGCTAATATTTTTTCTTTCTGAATCTACTTGCTGGGTAATTTTTATGCCAATCCATAACTTCATTTGAAGAGCTAACCTGGGACTGTAAAAAAATAAAAAATAAAAGGAAAGAAGAAATCATTTTCACCTTCTGTCTATCAGCACTAATCTCTTAAAAGTACCCTTTCCATCAAGGGATCCAAGAGAAGCTCCATTTCCTCAGCAAATGGAAGACTGAAAGGTACAGTTTAAAAGGGTTGCAGCTGTGAGTGAAAAAGGAAAATAATGGAGTGACCTGTGGAGACACCCTAAGCCCAGGAACACGCAGGGCCACACGTCTTTATTGGGTCGGAGATAAGCACATCTCTGTCAAACTGAAAAGCCAAGGAAACGGCAATCTTTGGCTTTCTGCTGGTGGGGGCAAGTACTGGAAATATTTTATTGCAAAGTGACTGAAACTCAGTCAGAAGTTTAACACTTAGCAGGCAGGCAGCAACGACTGAGAGAAAATGGACCAAGATTTTCTCCATTGGGTTCCTCCAGCCTTGACAACAGTGACAGCTGTTTTTTAAATAGCGTGGTGGATTCAGATGACTCTGAAAGTTTTACCTTAAAAATAAAATAGTGGAAGCATCCCCTAGAAAAATGGCTGGGGAAATATTTCATTAGAATGATATAGAAACTGCCTATAGATTGCCCAAAGAAAACAGAAACAATTTTCTTAGAAGATTGAATAGAAATACTGAATGGACCCAACTTCATTTAATACCCACAGAGTTCAGGTGAGAATTTAATTAAGAAAACCAAGCGTGGAGAATAAGGAAAGATAAGAGGCACAAAATGGTCCTTTATAGTTTCCTTGGAAGGTCACAGCCCACTTTTTATAACACAATGTGAAGCACAAGGTTAAAGTGGGTTTTCAGAGACTTAGCTCTACTCCAGAGGTCTCTCTTTAATGTTGTTTGCAAAATTTAAACTAAAGGCAGATTTATGAGCACTATTAGAGAACAGATATTTCTCTTCTTATTCAGAGAAGAGCTTTATTATTTTGAGCCAGTTGCTAAGCAAAATTAAGCTTGCATTTGGGCTGTAAATTCTCAGTTATATATGTAATAGCATTGTGTCTATTTAGAAATAATGAGGCTTCTGATTTCAAATCGGAAAATCCCAGGGTCATTTAAGACTTTTATCATTTCCAAGGCCTTATCCAGTCCTTATGGAAGTTTCACCTCTGTAATTCTAAGCTAATGTGTTTAAACTTTCTGGGGTGTGAAAAACACCATCACTTCTCTGAAGAGCTGAGGCTGGGATGCTGATTGAGAAAGCAGTTTCTAGAGTCAAACTACTTGAGTTTGAATTCTGGCTCTTTCACTTACTAGTGTTGAGACCTTGGGCAAATTCTTCCTCCCTCTGAGACTCGGTTACCCCATCTGTAAAATGAGGATAATAATAGTTCCTACCTTGTAGGGCTGTGGTGAAGATTAAATGAGATAGTACACATAAAGTATTCAGCAGAGTGCCAGCATATAGGAAGGAAAATCAACCCTTGCTGTCTTGCAGAAGTTGAGACACCACCACCCTGGAGCTTAGTGTTGTCTAGGCTGAGCACATAATAGTTATAAACTATTTCTCTTTAACGGGCACAGAAGATTCTGGTCAATGCCAATTTTTTTAACGAATTACCTGCTATATGCATTAAGCATTTCTTCACTTGAGTTCATTGAGGATTAATGCCCCACAGATCTTAACAGACAGAAATGAGAGAATGGATACGACAGACAGGAAATGGACTAATTGAGTAGCTGGAGGGATAGAGACAAAACAAAAAAGGAAAGACACACGAAGAATTATGAAAGCAGGTAAATCCATAGGTGATTTTTAGCCATAAGAACAGTGTTTCCCAACATTGTTCCAACTGAGGCATTGGTCTTCTGAGATGATTAACAAACACGTGGTTTTTTGGTCAAAAGATTTTGTCCAAAATATTTTCACAACACGTTTCCCTCTAGGAGTCTTAATGCATGTTAACATATTAAAGATTCTGAGAAGTACTGCAGTCAAGAAACCTGTTTTATTTTGTTTATCCCATAATACTGGTCAATACATAACACTGATCAATAATGTTTGGAGAATCCTGCCGCTGTCGTTATTTTAAAACTGGGAAACAGGAATTCCCATAAGTCAAGAATGAATTTTGAGGTGCTAATGAACCATGATAAAACGGATGGGAAGAAAAGTGGAGCTAACATTTAGTGAGAGCCTATTTTGCGTGCCAGAAATTGTGCTAACTGCTTTAGAAATATTTGCCCTTTCCTAATGAGGTTAAGGTAATGGTTTTTAAGTGGGTGGGTTATTTACAGTGCTTTACGAAAGAACGTCATGGCACATATTAGCTGTCCTAAAGTGGGAACAAAATAACTCTTCAAAAAATGAAGGATCTTGAGAACTCACATAACCCATATTCATGCCTAAGAGTACTGTTTTTGCACCCACTGAGAAATCTGGAGATTTTGGAGGCTCTTTATCCTCAATTTCCTGGAATGTAGCATTATATACAGACCTGTGAACTAGTCCTGGTTCTGCCACTTGTTGGATATGTACCTTGAGTAACATATTCCTTCGAGCCTGTGTAAATACTGGGAAAATAATGATATCTAACCTAAGTTTGTGAGGGTTATACTTACAAACCACAAGCTTATAACAGGTGCACAAAAAATGCCAATCTTTTCATCTACCATCCTTACTCTTGCACCCATTTATCAAAATATTTTTCTCTTGCACAAATACTAGAACAGGTTCTATGGAGTCCATAAAATAATATGTACAATTTCTACTTTCAACATCCAGTAATTGTTATTTAAAATACTATATTATGTGTGTGTATGTGTGTGTATGTACCAGCATATATTTAATACATTTAATAATGTAAGTAAATATGAAAACTATATAAAATAGCAGTTTATGTATTGTTAAAGGCAAGAACTACATTTTATTCTTCCTTTATATTCCCGGAGACATCTATCCTAGCGTGCTGCCAGGTACAGAGTATTTAGTATGTTTCATGAAATAAATGAATGAAAATGGTAGTGGTAAATTGCACTAAAATTATACTTATTTTGTACAATATAATATAACAAATGTAACTTAAGAACAGAACATTTTGCACCAGGGAACAAGCCAGGAGGGAGTAAGACTGCGATTTTTAAAATTTAGTGCTAAATTTCCGATGCTTTAACAAACAGCCTATGCTCACCATTCAATCTCAGATGAGGTGGGTGCCAGAAAATTCACTAACGAGACTGCCACGTTAGAGATAAACACAGTTTTATGAAACTGGATCTGGCTTCAATTCTTTTGTAAAAAATTTCAATCTCCCTTCAAATAAATTGAATGTTCATATGTTTGGTTTACTACAACTCTTATTTCTTCTCTACTTACTGTGTTTCATCCTCACGCAACAGAGAGTAAAAAGCAACTTCTTTTCTTTTTCTGAAATGTTTGTATATCATTAAGAGTGAAGCATTGTGAGGTGAAACTGGGGTCAGGAAGGAGGGAATACTGCACAATAACAGCTATTAATTTTGTGGAGGAAAACAGATCTTAATTTAAGTTCTAAGTGTAGCAGATGCAAAAACAACAGCCATAAAATATGAGATTTATCTTCCTTTCTTGTACACATTTGCCAACTTTGGCAATGAGACCGAATTGTGAGAGACTTTTTTATACTTGAATGAATAAAAATAGGTCAAAATGAGTTAGTGATTGAGAAACACTGTTGACTGAATTTTGGGTACATTTTCAGGTAGCATTAATGGAAATGGAGGTGACCTGTATTCAGGGCAACCGGACACTCCGTCTTATCACACCTCCCAACCCCGCTGCCCCTTTCTACTATCATCGCCTCTCCCTTTTTAACCTCTTTTCTGTGTCCTTCTGTTTTTTATCTATGTCTTGGTACTCAAACTTGGAATGTAGCATTTACTCCTTCACGATCTGAAAATATAATGACAGGTTTCTGATATGTTCCACACATCTAAACGTTCTCTGAGTCTTATCAGAGATTACAAAGGGGAGGATGTGTGAAATGAACTGAAGAGAATGATCTCTTATAGGAATGGAATTCTGCCGTTGAGAAGCTAAAGAGTGAAGCACTTGGGATTCTGCTCTTCAGGGACTATGTGGAGAAAGAACATCTACAGCTCTCTAACCAGAAACTGAATCAGCTTCAAGAAGAATTTGGTCGGCTCATGGTGGAAAGGAAGACCTGGTTAAAAAAGGCAAATGATTTTTTTAACAGCGCTAACAAGGTCAGTCTGAGATCATGTTGGTCATTTTAGGTGATCAGGGCAGACCAGTAAGAGACCTGTTATTTCAACAGGCTGGAGCACATCACAGAAGTCCAGACTCCATGTAGATTTGGTTCTCAAAACTAAGACACTCTATGCTTTGATGTGTAAATGGTCACTTAAAAAAAAAGATCTCCCATGAGAGTTTTATCTTAGAGCCATCATTGGTCTGTTTGGGGGAGATACTTGTGCCAACTCTCTAGTGTTTCTCATGGATGGAGGGAATTATCATAAAATATATCAAGGTTAAAAGAAACATTGAAACGTTTACCAAAAAAATCTTTCCCATTTTTAAATCCTTTTTCATTGATCAGGTAAAGATCCATGAATATTGCAAGCCTTCTGCATGCAAACTGTACGGCTAGAAGCAGAGCCTTGACCTGATTGCCCTGCCTTGGTCTTGCTTTTTAAGTCAGCCAAAGGGAAGTCTTGCTCTGGACTGTCTCCAGGTCTTCTTGAGTTGGAGAAGTGCTCTGCTTCCCCTGGTTGGTTCATTTAGTATTGATTGTAGCAGGTGGCTCCCGCTGTGTGGTAATGCTCACTTGTTCACATCACTTGAGCAGGGCTCAATTTCTGAGGCTGGTGATCTAATCTGAAAAATTTTTCTACCTTTCCCAATCTAACATACACCTTCAAAATGCCCTATTGGAATTTTTTAATACCTTAAGTTTCACTGATGTGTTTAAAACTGGACAATGTGACAGGAAATTAATGGGGAACCTCCAGAAGCTAGATTATATTGTGATTTAAAGTCACGACATCAACAGTCAGAGTACAATGTCCTGGTATATATCAAAATAGTTACTTAATTTTGGACTTTACTAGTAGGAAACTTGAACAGGCTGAACAGTAAAATTCCAAAATAGGGGTGCCAGAATTATGGTAAAAAATGGTAAACAAATATTTATGTCAAATTATTTGTTGTTTGGGATTTATTTGTTTTAAGAGAAGAAACAGATATAGCTTATTACTGGAGGTTTTGAATTAAGTAAATGGTAGGTGCTAGTTAAGTTTCTCTTCAACAATCCTGTCTTTGAAGAAGCGACTTCTTAACTTACATTACCCCCTCATTCTACAAAACCAGTGGGTCATCTGCCAGGCAGTTAATTCTGTTTCTAAGGAAAACAATTCAGAACATGTTGCTATGATAACACAATGCTCTAGCTCAACCCCTGTAGTTTATAGCTCTGCAAAATGTAGAGTTTTTCTCTTTTTCATTCTCACTCTCTCGCTCTTGCCTTCTCTGCTCTCATTATTTGGTATCTTGCCAGGGAGATTTTTCTTCTTACATTATTCCTGGGCTTGAAGGAGGAGGAATAATATTTCTTGAAATAGTAGTTAAAAAAAATGAAGAACTGAGTGGTTACTTTCTGAAACTCATATAGTAATTCAGATCAAATCCTGAGAAATTATATTTCTTAACCCCAAAGACTTGATTTCTAAGTCCCCTGTTTCATCATTTGAAAGCCATGGCATTCAAATTATAATAAATTCCATTGGGATTTATCCCTACTATATTTATCTATACTATAGCATTCTCTGTAGCTAAGTGGCACTTGGAAAGGTGTAGAATTCTTTCTTCCATTCCAAAGCATCAAGGAAATAATTTCCAGCTCCAAATCTAAGAATTCAATGTGAAAGATGCTGGATACTTTTCTTTTTGTGAGGAAGATCAGCCCTGAGCTAACATCCATGCCAACCTCCTCTTTTTGCTGAGGGAGACCGGCCCTGAGCTAACATCTATTGCCAATCTTCCTCCTTTTTTTTCCCTTTTTCTCCCCAAAGCCCCAGTAGATAGTTGCATGTCGTAGTTGCACATCCTGCTAGTTGCTGTATGTGGGATGCGGCCTCAGCATGGCCAGACAAGCGGTATATCGGTGCGCGCCCAGGATCCGAACCCGGGCCGCCAGTAGCGGAGTGCTAGCACTCAACCGCTAAGCCACGGGGCTGGTCCCCTGGATACTTTTACCTCAGCAAAAATAGAAGTTGGAGTTTGGAAAGTGGATGTTCAATGATAACTCTTGAAATGAATTATTTACCATATTAGTATTAAGAAGCAATAAATGATGAAATAATGTAGCAGGTAAATCCGTTTAAATTAATGAAGGAAATTCTTCTCAAGACTTGTAAATGGTATTTTTTTTAAATTTAATTTGTGGAATCTCCAAATTTTACAAAATGCTCACCACTTTACCCAGTTTTTGGCATAACACTCTTAAATAACCCTAGTTAAAGTGCTGGATTTAAAAATTAACGTAATTTCAAAATCCTTTAAAATATTTTTTCTAGTCTGAAAGTTCTGTTTACATTAGTGAAGGGGTATTTTCAGTTTACTTGATCAATTTATCTCTGAGGCACTGAATTTTCCTTTTGAAAATTCACCTTATTGTGCCTTGAGTGCACTGGGTTTTTCTAATTGTGAGCATCTGCATCCCTGGATGAAGTCATGCTGCCAACAGCTGTGAGGGGTCTGAGATGTTACTCAACTTTCTAGCTAACATGATAACTCGTCACAGTTTCATGGATGCTCACAGAAGACACAGGACTTCCAAATCAGTTTTGAAAAACTTTATTACTCACAGCAAAAGCAGTAGCCAGAGTGTCAACATGTCACATCAGTTCCCCAAGCCGCAATTCCCAGGGGGCGATGCAGATGGAATCCAGAAGGGGAATCCTAAACTTGGGAAATTGATTGTCTTATAGCAAACACTTAAGCCTGCTCTTTGTCTCAGAGGAAGATGTTTCCTCAACCCTGAAGGATGCTGGCTGCAAACCTAACATGAGAAATGGCCCAGATAAAGAAGGCTCAGGTGTTCTTGGCATACCAGTAAGATGGGTAGGAGCACTAGAGACTCTCCCAACACATGCAAATCTGGATGTTAGCACTGTACAAGAAAGAAGAAGTCAGCACTCTACAAACGGATACTTGGGGCCAGCCTGGTGGTGTAGAGGTTAAGTTTGCGTGCTCGGGGACCTATGGACTGCTCATTGAGCCATGTATATAAAATAAAGCAAGATAGGCACAGATGTTAGCTCAGGGCCAAACTTCCTCAGCAAAAAAAAAAAAAAAAAAAAGATACTCACTTCAAAATTATTTTTTAGCAGACAACTTCTTGTTCCAAATTTGTTAAAGGTAAGTCAGTATTCTTCAATTTCTGTGTCAAATACCAGTGTGAAAAAATGTTAGCGTTATGAGTGCTATATGAATGAGTGAATATGACAGCTTGAGTGTTTGCTCAGTAAAAAGCAAAATATACGATTTAAAAAATAACCTTTTACTCTTTTTGAATTTTGTTAAAATACAAAAGAATGAATGTCATAATCTCATCTGCAGAATGGACTGTTGTTAGGAAGCTTTCCATATCACAGACATTTCCTTTTTCATCCATATTTTTATCATATGTTTCTGGTATTTTTGTTGCAATCATCTGGAAATCTCCCTTTTCCCCCCTTTTCTTTAATTTTCATTCCCTCCTCTCTCTCTACCAATTCTAGATGGGGATATTCTTATTTACTAGAGAAAAGTCACAATAATTCCTTTTACTGAAGTTGCTAAACAAGTAGTGTGGCAAATTCATGAGAATAATTACCCTTCTTCTTCAGGGATTCATTTATTTCATAAATTTTTATTGAGCAACTACAATGTGTCAGGCCCTGTTCTAAACACTGTGCCTACAGGAGAGAACAAAACATACAAAAATCTATAAGCCAATATATTTCCAATTTGTGACATTCCATAGAATATAATTATCACCTAATTGTCCACATTGACAACAGTGCTCTACTGCCTTTGCTCTGTGGCTCCAGGAGTGAGACTGAATACCTTTTAATCCTGCCAGGGGTTGATGATTACCCAACGCTCTAGTCTGTTTCTTTCCGAGACTATCCACAGCCTTTGGCTTGAGGTGCTGTGGTTTGTACATGGAATGAGCAGTAGGTGGCGATGTTAGCACACAGGACCTTAGGGGTATTGCTGTTGATGCTTTTCAAACCAGCCACTGGATTTAAGTGAGGATTGAGCAGATAACTCAAGAACCTGAGATACTTCCTTTTCGTTTTAGAGTTCTCTACTGTGTTCGGTGAACCTATTTGCTAAATCACTTAGCAACAAATACAAATAGGGGTTCACTGTCAACACTGGATGATAGCTGATTGGAGAAGAGTTCCTCTAATTATCAGATGTTGCTAAGAGTTATGAGGACATGATGTGAAATACGAAGATAGCACCTATTACAGTAACTCATCTTCATCCCCCCAAATTTTTATCTTTCACGATTATAGATTATCTTATTTATTATATTTCTAGTACGTTCACAAAAAAGAAGCTCTGGTTAATACGTATTGATCACCCAAAAGGTATTTATCATTGTTTAGGGAATATGGTTTGAATCAAATAGAGATAAATATATATAATATGTTTCAAGAGCAGAACAGCGTGAGCCTGTATTTGTATGACAATGATGATTGAACCTAAAGGGTGTAAAACACGGTCAACTGGTCAAAAGTTTCTTATCCTGTGCTTTCCATTCGCAGGCACATGATTTCATTGGGGAAAACAAGCAGAGGAAACTGAGGCCAAATCTACATGGTCTGGTTCTTGGGTGGTCAAACTAACAGCAAAGGTGAAGCAAAAGTTGGGGCAGCCAGAGGAATACACCAGAAGCAGTCTGAAATGTAACAATTGTCATAGCTTCTACTGCTTCTGCCATCACTGCTGAACATTTAATGTCTTAAAAAGATGATGTTGCTTTTTCAAGATGTTTATAGTAGTGCAAAAGAGTAATGCCTACAGCAACATAATTGTTTCAGATGAAAACAAAATAATTAAGCGTGGAGTTTGGTACATTTTTTTTCATTTATATGTACACTACTCTACCATTTTCAAAATAGATACATTTTAGCCCAGATGTGGGAAACAATTGATTAAAATGGTCTAGTTGTACAGATTGAAGAAGAAATTT